TGGACTCTGGTCTTGGAAACTTAACGGGGGGGCGTTTCATCATCATCATCATCATCATCATTATTATTATTCCGCCTTTTTTACATATAACTCAAGGGCAAACACACCTCATACTCCTTCCGCCTATTTTCCCCACTACAACCCTGTGAGGTGGGCTGGGCTGAGAGATCACCCAGCCTAATGCTCGTATTACTGCGCTTGTGTAAATGCTCTGTAGTCTTTCCCTGCTCTTGAACGCTTTTTTCTTCTCGTCGCATAGTTCTTCAAGTTGCATAGTTGCATGCATCTAATATGAGTTGCCTGCTGTGTATTGTAATGCCGTTGGTTCTCCCAAAGAGTTAGGCGGGAGGAAAAAATGGTAAGCACGTGTTTGGCCCTGGTAGGCCATTTTGGAAGATAAGGAGGTGCAGTAGGGCAGCCTTCTTTCAACTGCAATCCACCAGATGTGTTAGCACTAAAAATTGGACAGGGAATCATGTTTGTATGTGCCCGTGTTTTAAGATGTTTGAAATGAAGAACCTTCTCCAAAGCGTAAGTTTTCAAACTTTTTCATTCCCTTTGAATCCTAGGCATCTGGTTAGAACAACAGTTGGAAGTTCTTGTTACTATCGATGTGCTTCCTTTTTTGTACTGCCCTCACTCACCTGGCTTTTGTCTGCTCCCTATTAAGAGGTTACTTTGTGCAACCTTCATCCAGCATTAACCGAAGTACTAAAGCTTACTTTTGGGAGATCAGTAAACAGCACTGCCAAATCTTTTTCTATCTTTAAGTTTGCAACAGGTGCTACGTTTTATTGATTTATTTGCTTATGTCACCATAGGTTCTGTTTCTAAGAAGCACAAGAAGAAAAAGAAGTCTTTGCCAGATGAAGATGTTGCTGTGAGTTGGCCAGGTTATAGTAGCTTGCCACGTTATGTAGCAAACTCCCTTTTAAGCCTCAGTTATCCTGTGGATGTTCCCAAATAAAAATACAATTTAAATTGCATTTAACGGGACATTGTTATTTTATTAACCACACAGCACAAAGATTAGCACTTCTAAGATATCACCGTTATTTACAGATCCCATTTTTATTTTTCTGTAGCACTGAAAACACTTCCTTATGTGTTAACGTGTACATACATCCTGAGAAGGAATTTGTTGTTATTATGCTCTATTCTACTAAGCAGTAGCTTCCAATCTGACTTTTATATTTAAAAGCGCTGTCTGGAGCAGAGTGAGAGACTCTTGATGGTCTTTTCAGTTCTAGACTAGGTAAAAGTAAAGTCTTCCTAGAGTCAAACTCAGCTCCTGACTTAACTGACGTGTCTTTGTGG